AGTCACTTGCACCTGACTTCGGAGTCAATTTCCAGCAACGGTGTGGTGCCGGCAGGCCTCACCAGAGACGGCAGCTTGTGAGGCGCGGGACCGCTTGGAAGAATGACACAGATGGCAGGTTCAGGTTTCAGACGTCGGCCGTGGTCACCAGCACATCGTGCACACCGACAGGATGCTCCGGCACCGCAGCAATCCTACGTGCTGGTCCCGCAGGCCCTCGGCCTTGCGCTGCTCGCATATGCGGCAGTGCCACACAATGCAGCCAAAGCCGCTGAGGAGCAACAAGATGAGCAGGCAGCTCCGTCGAAGGACGTGCCATCCGAGAATCATCGCAGCCCTGAGGCTTCGTTGCATCTGTCGGATCTCCACAGTCGGTTGAGGGACTGGCGGCCGCTGTGGTTTTGGATGCCAGGCCGTGGCAGAGGCCCATGCAAAGGCCATGCAGGCCGGGGCAGCCTGTGCCTTGTTTCACGTGCCTTTGAAGAACTCCGCCGTGCAATAGGAGCTGCAGGACCAGCACATCCTGGCCCTTCAGGACGCAGGGCTACTGACCCAAGAGCAGCTTTCCGTTTTCTGTCTAAAGCCCTGCGGCTGCTTTCTGTTTCCTGTTGCACTTTCTGCATGGTTTGCTTCATTTCTCCATGAAGATGGGTGGTGTTTCGGATAAGCCAGGAGCAAATCCTCATGAATGCTTTGCGCCGTGTCGAAGTCGTAGAGCTGGGATCTAGGTCCGCTCGCTAACCAGAAAGCCGTTAATCGTGCAGTCCAGAAGTTGTTACTTGCATCATCTGGCACCATCTGTCATCGCCTACCACCTCCCCCTTAATGGGTTCATGAGTGCAGTGCCACGATGTGTCACATTCCCAAACACTGTATTGTCTCTGTGTCAAGGAGCACAAAGAAGTCCAAGAAGCCGCCTCGGCGCAACCCCAACCCCCAACCACATGCCCCATAGCGAAAACCACACCCTGATCAGCGAAGCGCCGGGAAGGTTTTTGCCCACGCTAGCCGCCCGGATGTTGAGCTGAACACGGGGTCGCGACTCGCATCATCTGGTACAGTCCACCATCACGTCCTATCTCCTCCTCCATGGGTTCACGAATGCAGTGCCGCGATGTCCCACGCTCCTGGTAATTGCCTCTGTGAGAAGGAGCAAAGAGAAATCCAAGATGCCCTGGAGGCTAGCACGGTGCAGCATGTCCTGGTATGTCCTGCGTTTTTCTTGGGCTAAAAAATTGTCGCAGTGCCGTCAGTGCGGGTTTCCGGCGGCCTCCCAAGAAGCAGGCAGCGAAGCGAGCGCACGCACAGATTTTGCAGGCTGGGGCCGTGGCATGTGGGCGAGAGCGCGGGCAGCGTGTCAGCAGGCCTGCGCTGTCCGTCGTCCCGAGCAGTACGAGGGTATGCTCGAGGACGGCGGAGCAGCTTCTTGCAAAATGGGTGCCTGCGGTGCTTTGACTCATGGCAGGTGGAGCGTCGCCGCGCAGAGTTGGGGCGCGGCCGCCGACACGCGACTTCCGGGAGCCATGAGAGGGAGCTTGGACTTTGGGGATCTTTGGGGGCTCGCAGGTGCTTTGGTCACCGAGATGGTCGTTTAGGGCCGTCTTGGTTTAAATTGGCCCTTAGCTCGACTATCTCCCATTGCTGTCAGCTTAAGACTCCCGACGTCGCCAGGCTGTTTCTTGACAGCGGCCGACTTCGAGGGCCCCCATCTCCCTCGGCCAGAAGGACCACGGCTTGCTGCCTTTGCCCTCTGGAAACCCGAAACATGGCTCGTGCAGTTCAAGAGAAAGCAGTGCATCCTCAGTCTAAAAAGCCTGGAGACCCGAAGGAACAATCACCGCAGCCGTGATGGGCTCACATCGATTTTGAAGCGCCGCGGAAGTGCGAGAACTAACAGAAATTGGAGGGGATAATTGGAAGCTGGCTCAGACACAGTCGTGGATTACAGAAGCCCCGTATAGAAATACAACACAGTACAAACTATAGTGCCGACAAGTCGCGCGATGTCCTTGCGGCGTGTCAGGCTGTTGGTGGCTGGTCTTGCTACTGCACTCGGCGACCTGCCAACTTGGGAGTGTGTGACAAAACGCTCATGCTCCATTCAGTTTAGCGGTGACAACGTCACGGCCGAAGATCTGATCTTGGTGAGCACTTCGGAGACTTGTGACACCTGCTTTCGAACCGATGCCGGTGTATGCCCATGGCTCGATGGAGACAGTGGTGTTCATGGACTCATCATCTGTCAAATCGGCAACACTACAACCTGGCGATGCCAGGGGGCTGGAAAAGGAGATCGTGTCCTCTGCCCGCCTGACTACCAGATGTGTCTCGCTTCATCCAGCCACCTTGCTCTCTTTCTTGTAAATTTAAACTGATTCGATCTACATGTTCCTCTCCGTGAGTTGCTCTGCTGCTAGCTCTGAACCCATGAGGTGTGCGAAGAGGGCCTGTGGAGGAGGGCGTGACTTCTGCTGTGATGAGATTACCACCGAGTCAACTGGCCTCGTCCCGTGCCGAGACAGTGCTGGCCCGCGTCTTTGTCGATATATGTCGCTGCAGAACCTGAGAGCTACCGTCAACGCAACGCATGGCTTTGTGGAACCAGGCACGCTTCCGCATACAGCACCTAGATATGGGCCTAGATACATATATTGTTGGCAACGGGCGAAGACCTTAAAAGAGGTATCCCTGCGCGCCAATACCTGGAGCTTTAAAGGAACTTTAGCGAAGTTGCTTGAGGCGCCCACGCCGTTTGTCGTTGCAGTCCGGCCGACTTTGCTGCCGGAGCCGCGGGTCAAAAGCTCCCTGGTGGGTGAACGTAGTCAGGTGATGACGGCTTGTGTGTTACCATGAGAGAAGGTGATATGGCTATGGAATGCTATGGATGCGCACTACTTGTAGAGGGTGCCAAGTCTTATGAGACTTGCCGTTAAATTTTCCCAAATCTTGGGGATCTTCCAAGGCTTGGAACCTTGCACGTCGTCGGCCCCAGCGCTCTGCACAAGCAGAGCTGTATGTCCGGGGCGCGCCGATGCTATGCGGAAACCACGAACGCATTCGGCCTCTCCATGGTGACGTCGCTGTTCCAGGTGACGCATGCCGCCACGTGCGCCGATATGGAGGCAGAAACGTCGCAGTCTGATGCTGAGAAGTTCCGGTATCAGTGGAATCCCGACTTTTCCGGGGCGTACTTGGACACCTCCCATACCGGACGGAAGTGGATGGCTGAACAGGATCCTGGTATATATAGACTCTGCTGGTGTCAAAATGATACGGAAGGTGCCTGTGAGTCTCTTTCCGACTTCAATGTGTCTGCCGGACAGTTGACTTGGAGCGGGCCATTTAAGAAGGAAATGCCGATGCTCGCTACCATCGGTGACGTCTTCGAGGTCGAGTTGTCAGGAGTGGGGATCAGATCCAACAGTGTCCTAAGCATCCAAAAAGATTGCGGAGGCAGTGAAGGACCACGGGTGTGGGTACAGGCAGTTCAGTCTTCTACGAAGTTCCTCTACAATTTCGGCCAAGTCGCTGAGGACATATTGCCACCTGGCACGTACAGTGCATGCTGGTGCGAGCCGACTCCCAATTCGGTTTGTTCGCTGGCGGCGGATCAGTTGACCCAAGTTGCAGAGGTCCATGTTCGCTGTCCGCTTGGACAGTTCAGCCCCGGTGGAACGGGAGCCTGCCAACAGTGCGACTTTATTTGGGAAGAGCCCAACCAAGCCCGAAACGACTGCAGCACCCGGGCCGCGAACGCTGGTCAGATCGTTGGTCTTTGCCTCTGCTACCTCCTTGGGTGGGCCCTCTTGTGGTATCAGATGGCCTACTTCGTCGAGCCGGGGTGCAGACGTCTGAGCATCTCAGGGCGGAAGGTGCCCAACACGTCAGATTCTTTTTGTCACACGGGCCGCCCGCCCCCTTAAGACTCCTTGCTCTGCAGGTGCACATTGCCGACATCTCCTCCAAGCCCTCAGAGAACGGAGACTGGACGGCAACTCGGCGAGTTCTCAAGAGAGACCTTTTGCTTCAAAAATGAGGGAGACCTAAGAGAGAGGGAGAGAGCGAGGCCAAGCGCACTGCAAGCAAGCAAGCGAGAGAGAGAGAGAGAGGGCGAGGGCGAGGGCGAGAGGGAGAGGTTTTGATGCGAAGTAGAGAGAGATAGAGAGAGTGTGGTGTGTTACTTTGGGGCTCCATCGGCTCAGCTGGGGCAGCCCCGCCCCACGAAAGAGAGTTGAGGCCTTCATCACCACCGTCCAGCCGCATCACTTCACGGCCCGCTTCGGCACCTTTCCCATCTACTTCTACCAGACAGGCACACTCAAGTCGTTAAAAACGGATTATGTGTTGAATTGGGCTGCTACCCTCGGGCTCTCCAGCTAGGCCACTACCAGCTCGACCGGAAGCCGAAGCCCGGTCACTTCCTCTACAGGGCGAGGTCCGTCGGACCAAATCGCCTCCAGCTCCTCGACGCACCTTGGGCCGCCTTTTGAGGATGCGTTGAGAAAGTTGGGGTTTAGGGCCTGGTAACACTGGGGGATTTTAGGGCATTTTAAGGCATTTTCCATGGGAGGTCACATGGGTTTTAATGGGTGAGCTAAGGAACAAGGCAACTCGGTGGCCAGTGCCGACACCTCCCGGGGCTGCCCAGATGATGTCAGGGGCTCTCGGAGAGTTTGGTGTCTTAGGTGAGCTTCGTATGTTGAGAGCTATTTCTGTACTTAGTACAACACGAGTCTATAATATACAAGAGTTTCAAGTTGCTCGCAGACATACGGAATATGTGTAGCCGTAAGAGGGCACTTGGCAGCAGCATACAGCATGCATGTTGAGGCAGATGTATAGTAGAGCCTGAGTAGAGCGAGGTGGTAGTGAATCATCCAGGGGGGTCAGCAGGGCATTATGCGTAGCTTTGTGGCTGACTGCGTGTTGAGATGAAGATCTTCTGACCACGCAGTTCTGCTTACTGTGGGGACATAGGTGCAGCCGAGGTTACTTTGTGCTGCGATACGCTCGTTGTGTAGTACACACCGATTTACTCCGCGGCATTCCTGTGCTCCTGGTGGCCTCCGTGGCTGGAGTTTGTTTGGAAACGAGCTTTCAAAGAGGTTGTTGAAAGCCAGTCGCCCCCACCCCTAATCCCGACGGCTTTTCAAGCACCCAGACGTTTGCTCAAGTTGCTTGTTGCGGGACATATGACAACTCAATAGAATGCTCAAGAAAGGTCCTTCTGCTGGCTTCAGCCGCCCTGCTGGTTCTTGCCAACCTGCAGAGCGAGCCAACATTCCGAACTTGGGGCGGGACTGGAGTGGCACTCTCGGGTTGCCTTTTTGGCTGCGTTGTGGCTTGGCTTTTGAGGTGCTTGAGAGAGAAACCATCGCCCATACATCAGTCCATCCAGGTCTTTCTAAGGGACCTCCAGCGTCGGAACCCGAACCCGGTGGCATGCAAGAAGGGTCCTGATCGTGCGCTCACGGCTTACCAGATCTTCGACTTGATGCAGCAGTTTCAGCAGTACATACGGGATCGGAACTTGTATTACATCGACTCCAACATTGTCCACCCGTTGACCTTTCATGTGAAGTTGTCACTTGCCGAGCTGCTGGGCCCCTCCTCAGTCGCCTGGTTCGTGTCTCACTACTGGGGCACCAAGTTCGCTTACACGTGTGATGCTTTGAGACGCCATGCCGAGCACGCCACGTCAGGACAGAAGGGGACCTCCTGGCAAACTATCTCGTACTGGATCTGTGCATTCAGCAACAACCAGTACCAAATAGCGCATGAGCTCGGCACCAGTCACAAGGAATCCTCGTTTTACCTGGCCTTGCACAGCCCCGTTGTTCAGGGGACCTGTATGATCTTGGATGAGAAGGCCTTGCCGTTGACGAGGTCCTGGTGTTTGTTTGAGCTCCTCCAGACCGTGCTCCTGGAGAAAGAACGCGAGGACTTCAAGGGCCTCCAGTTCTGCACAAACACCGGCATTGTGAACTTTGGGCAGGCTACGACTGAGGTGGCGATCACCATCGGGAAGCGGCTTGCCGACTTGTCCCTATCAGAAGCTGAGGCGACCTGCGTGGAGGACCAAGAGACCATCAAGTCTCTTGTCGTTGAGGAGATGGGCAGCTTCGACGAGATGGATAAGATTCTCGACATGAAGATTAAGGACGCCCTGGTGATTTGCAAGAAATGCACCAACGAGGAGTTCAATCGCCTCTTTGAGCT